GGATGTACTGGGAATATCCAGACTTTGAGCGAATGCCAGACAGCAAACCCACGCATTACAATCCGCCTGACACACAACCAAAATAAACATTGCTGCGTTGTTCAAATGGTGTGGGCAAAATTATTGTGGCTGTTCAGCTGTTTAATACAAAAATGACTACCGTTAGATTTAATTTCAGCTAACTGTTGCTAAATCTGCTAAAATAGCATGTCCTGTTGTATTTGTGCACAAACTACAGGAACTTGCAGAAAACCATCTGGAACAGTTATAAAATGACAACCTAATGCCCTGCTGTCACTACTCCAAATGGATTTCTCTCCATTTACAGAGAATCTCTGTCAAGATGAAAAGCTGGAATCGAATCAAAAACCCACAAGTATCCAACATTACTGACATATCAAAATACAGATAAAGAACTCTAGCGTTACTAAAGAGTCTCCCAAAGCAACTGAAGCTTGGTTTATTTAGGTTTTTTTGGGGACATTTACAATTTCCTCTTAGTTAATAACTGCTTTGACACATGATTACAGTTTAATGGCTACGGAATCAGGACAATGTGTGCCAGATGTAGAAAAATGTGTTTCATAGAAAAAAGGCTGCTTCATGGTTGTTTTTATAGTGCAAATGACCAATGAACCTCAAAGATAAACCTGCTCAAAACCAACAAAAGAAGTTTTTTTACTCTTAACAGTCAGCATGTTGCAATATTGATGAAGAAATTTCAAAGAATTTAAACATCTACGAAAAAAAAATCTTGGAAAACTGCAATGTGCGCCCAACTTGGCAGTAAAAAGACAAGATGAGCTGGCAATCTCCAGTGGATTCCAGTGGTATGTCTGCAGCTGTTTTTCACAAAACCCACACAACAGAAAAAGAAGTGCCCTGGTAAAGTGCTGTTTTCCTTTCTAAGGGCGTCATTTAAAGAGCAAGTCACCCTCAAATCAACTATTTGTTGTTGATAAACTATATAAATGAGTGTCTAATGGCTCTGTAGACACATTCAGTCAATAATTTGGCACTTTAGTTAATCTTAGTTAAAATTTCAATAATCTGCCTAAACTGTCAGCGATGCACCGTCGTCAGGCAAAAACTCTGCACTGCATTTGAATTTAAATCTGCCATCGCTATTGGCTAAAGCTGGGCTTACACTGTGCGACTTTTTCACTTTTTTGAGCCGATTTTCCACTCGTGCGAGAATCCACGGGATCGGGGCGAGTTTTGCGCCGAGCGTCGTGTAGTGTACAGGGGGTTACGAGAGGCGATTAACACCACGTGACCAGCTACCGATCAGCAATCGTGAGCTCGCACAAACTTCTGGCGTGTTTGATATTTTGCTCGTCCCTCGTGAGGGTATCGCTCTGTTGAAGCGGCGCTGCGAGCAGCTGCGACCCAAAAAGTACCAGAACTGCTCACGGCACATGCGCAATCATGCATCAACACCGCTCGCCCGCTATTTCCCTAATAACACACGTTGTTTGTTTTTGTTTCTACACGTTTTTTTTACTCTCAAAGATTGTCAAGAAAGCGTGTTTGTCGTGTTCATGTCTAATTAAACTGATCACAAAACACAGATTTACTTTCTTTATTTCGTTTTCCTCATCCATCCCCCATAAATCCCTGTGTGTCCTCCTGCAGCACTCCCGAAGGACAACAGGCAAAACAAGACAAAAAAGTCTGACATGTTGTGTAAAAACTGCTATTTTTAGCATATTTTTAGGGCCGACGTGTTGCTACCAGACGTACAGTGTGAGCGCATGACTCGTGAGATCTGCCCTGCGAGGAAGTTGTACAGTTTGAGCTGAAGCTGAGTGCTACGAGTGAAAAAGTCACACAGTGTCCGCTCAGCTTAAGAGGTACACTATGATGTTAGATGGCACATTATGATGTCACAATGTTGTGAGTGTATGTATTTGTTAGTGGCTCCGCCCTCTCGGTCTGCTAGGCAACAGCATTTGTTTTATTTTCAAACAGGAAGTGGGAGTTTAGTAAGAATCTGGCAGGGGGTGACTTGCTCTTTAAATAAAGCAAGATAGCACAAAAACGACATGTGTACCTCCACAAACTCTAAAGAAGAATTGGAAATGGGCTTATTTCATAACAAATTATCCTTTTATGTGTATTAGCTGCAGAAACACATCACAGAAACAGAAGAAAGCCACAAGGCTGACTACATCAGCGCTTGTTAAACGTATTTTCAGGCAGAAGACAAATAAACTCTTCAGTGCTACCAGCTGCACGAGTCTAATAATAACCTTAAAAGCATTTAAAGCATGCCATAGATGTCCACAACCTTAGTGTCCAGACACTCTCAATATCAGACAAACATGACCTCCACAAACTGGAATGTTGTCACAAATCTTTTACATGTGATGAGAACAAATCAATGAAACCAATGATAAGATGCTTATAGGAATACACTCTCAGCTGCTAGCCTGAATGTGCGTCCAAGAACACCTTTTGTACTGTTTATACAAACATTGCAGATACTGTAAAGCCCAACAAGTCTGAAAGATATTGATTTTAAGTCTGGATATGTGCAAGCAGATACCAAAATTAAACAACTTTATTGAAACTGAACCTGGTCCATGAACGACAAAGGTCGGAACAGAAATGTTTGCTTATCCATCTTGCAGAGATTAGTTTCGTAACACAGGAACCAGAAAAGCAGACGCCACTTTCTTCTACATGTCAATCCAGATATTCTGATTAGGGGTAGACTGATATATACCGTTTATTTACCATTTTTTATGTATCGTATCGGACGATAGTTGTCCTTGATAAAGCAGATTAAAGGTCAGGCGCATCCTCGGGCAGCCTGGTGCTGTTACAGAATTTAATTTAAATGTATTTTTCTGTTCACTAATAACATCTGCATGATAAATACTCTAAATTAACTTTATTTAGGAGTCTGATTTTAACACTGAGCAGTGCACAAAGTTAAGATTTAACAGTTACATTCAGAGTTTAAGCACTGATTTAGCATAAAAATGATCTCAGCCTGACCCAAACAAATTCTTGTTATCCGAATCTGACGCCCTGGTAGCCTTGAGCGGCAACAAACCCCCACGAAGGAATGCAGACAGATGCTGTGAAAACCCGACGTACCCCCCCCCCCCCCCCCCCCCCCCCCCCGGATTGGTGGACTTCAGCCTGGCGAGGTCATCAACCTGCAGGAGTCAATGTGCTCTGCGCTTCTCCCAAGATCTCCCTCCACCTGTGACTGCACAGTGCACAGTGCTGTAGATGGCTGCTCTCGCTGGGGTAAACAGGATCCCAGCCCCCCCCCCCCCCCCCCCCCCCCCCCCCCCCCCGCCTTCCTATTGGAGTCTCATGTTATGTTGTGTTAACTGAAGTCTGTTGTAAATCTGTTGAGGTGTTTTTTTTGCAGAGCAAAGCTGCCCTCCTGGTGGGAGGGTAACTCTGAAGTGCCTTTTTTCCCTCCACCTGAACCAATCCTCATGTAAACCTCTTATCTCTATTAAGGTAGCGCGACTCTGGTTGCGAATGACCAGTCACCAATTCTTGTCATGTGTCTTGCCCATGTATGTCTGATCTCTGAATTGTGTGTACTGGAACTCTAATTTCCCTCTGGGATTGATAAA